TTAGCTGCTCTATAATTAAGAGCAAATTTCAGTCTCTTCTGATCTGCATCTTGATCTTTTCTTTCTTTCTTGTATTTCCAATGACCGTTTGCTTTCCTCATGAATGATCATCTTTTTCTTTTTTTTTTTTAATTTGTGTAATCTTTTATTGCGAATTAGGTAAAGATTTTACAGAATGATCATCTTAACGTCATCCCACAGCTCATCAGATCTTCAGTCATTAGTGCTCAATGCAGCAAATCTGTTCTTGAGATGTTCTCAAAATTCAGGTGGGATATGTTCAAAGTCATTATTTGGACCCTCATGAGTTTTAATTGTCTTCAGTTTCAACCTACACTTCAATAGGAGCAACTGGTGGTCTGTTGCACAGTCAGCCCTGGCCTGGTTGTAGTTGGATTGGGTGTCTCTATTGTCTCTTCCTACGGATGTCATCAGTATAGTTGCTGGCATAGTTCATCTGTATAGTTGCCATTTGTGTTGTTGGTCTTGCAAAACAGTTGTTGGTCTTGCAAAATTCTATCATTCAATCTCCAGTTTCATTTCTATCACCAAGACCATACATTCCAACTTCTATACTTCCTTCATTGTTTCCAACTTTTGCATTCCAATCACCAATAATTATCAATGCACCTATTTAATCAATTTCATACTCTTCAGACTCTTCATTGGTAGAATTCTTCAAATTCTTCATCACTGGCTTTAGTGGTTGGAGCATCAATTTGACTGATAGTTATGTTCATTGGATTTCCTAGTATGCATATAGGTTTAATCATATCACAGACATCATTGTACTTCAAGATAGACCTTGAAATATTTTTATTGACAATAAATGTCACACCATTCATCTTGTGTTATTCCCAGCATAGGTAATCAGATGATTTTCTGATTCAAAAAGGACCGATACCAGTTCTTTTCAGCTCACTAGTGCTGAAGATGTTGATCTGTATGCATCCCATTTCACTTTTTATCACTTCCCATCTACCTTCATTCATACTTGGTACATTCCACGTTCCAATTATTAGTAGCTTTTTGCAACTGTTTCTTCTCATTTTGAGTTGTACCCAGCAGCAAATGAAGGCTGTACGCCACAGGCCGGCATCCAGCCACATTATTGTGGCTGACTGTACTTTGAGAAGGCCATTCTTCCGCAGTCATGTGCATAAGGTTTCGGCAGCTAGTTCCTCTGCAGTGGCTCAGTCTGCTGTCACAGGCTGGAAGCTCTGCTGAAACCGGTATATTTGAGTGACTTGCCGGCATTTGAAATTCCACTAATATGCCTTCCGGCAACACACCTGCCACCACAGGATGACAAACTGACAGCCATGTGATGGAGGCTTTAGTTCCATAATGCAGGGCACCCACGCTGTGCTGTGTGGCCAAGACCCTTACAATTGCTACATTTATCATGTACATGGTATTTTGTTTATATAAAATCACTTTTTTATTTGCCAAAATACATTAACGAAGATGTAACAGTTATTATGATTGCTATGTTAGGTCGGGTTGACTAGAGAAACAAATCTAGGGACATTCATATACAAGGAGGTACCCCCCAAAATGGAATTTTTCCCCTTCCCTGTCCCCAACGCTATGTATTTAATTTTTCTGGCAAAACAACCTATCACCTTCAAAGTACTCTCCATTATACTTAATACAGTTGTCAAATCTGTGATTCCCTTCATGGAAACATTTTTCAAACACATCTCTTTGGATGGCTGACAGCACCTCCCTTTTTTTTTCCTTTACCTTTTCTATGTCGTCAAATCGCTGTCCTTTCATGTTCTTTAGCATTCATGGAAACAAAAAGAAGTCACGTGGTGGGAGGTCAGGTGATTAAGGAGTGGGAGGCAAGAGAAGCATGCAGTTTTTTTGCCAAAACCTGGCGCACTGAGTTGACTACTTGAGCAGGTGCATTGCTGTGGTGGCAGAGCCAGTCCTCTGTCTGCCACCAATCAGGTCTTTCTTGTCACACACTGTCACACAATTGTTTCAGAACTTCTAAATAGAAAGCTTGTTTAACAGTGTGACCTGATGGAATGAACTCCAAATGCACTATGAATCGGCATTTTCATCCATTCGAGAAGTTGACAGATGTCCAGAATGAGATTTTGGAAATGAGAAAACCACTTGTATACTTGAGTTGTTCCCATAACACTGTCCTTGTAGGCTATGTTCCACATCACAACAGTTTCTGTGGCATTTTTCCTGAGCAGGAAACAAAATTTCACAGGTCCATGCTGCTGTTCTCTTAAATTGGCCATTACAAAAAAAAGAGGTTTGAGCAAAACTGCTTTTATGAAAAAAATTCACTGTGACCGGAGAGAACCTTCCCAGGCAACGCCACTAGGTACACTAACTCATAGCAAGTTGCTCGATGCTCGCTTAGTGGGAAAAACGCTGCATACTATGGAAACTCGACTCCACACATTGTAATTCCGGTTTTTTTGGGGGGGTGGGGGTGGGGGTGGGGATACCACCTCGTATGTATAAGAAGGAGCTTTATATCAAAGAGTAATTGTATATTGAGAAATCACCCTCAGCCCAGTCCAGATAAAGTCCATAAGTCTGATCTTAGCCATGTGTCCATACTAGTCCATACATTCCTCTTAAGACTCACAGAGCACATGCAAATGATGCTGAATGCAGGAAGATCACAGGTGGAAAGTCTTGTGGATCCATTGCCAGTGGAAGCATCTCAGCATTGACATGGGTCTCCATGTGGCTCCTCCAGCTCTCTAAGGGTGTCTCCTCAACAGGAAGGTGAAGCAGAGAGAAAGTGTGGCCCACTTCTAGGGAGAAAGAGAGGAAGTTCCCAGAATCCTTGCAGAAGGCCACACCCACAGGAGGCATCATCAGGCTATGACCTGATTGACAGGCTAGAATGTACCTAGACCTAGTTATCAAGTTGACATGAAATTATGTAACTGCCACAATTACTATCTTAGCTATATAATGCTGTTATAACAGAAGACTACCAAAAAGGCAATAGCAAACAAATTTATGTCCTCACAGTTTAGGAAAACAGAAGTCCAAATTCAGAGTGCTGATTCTAGGGGGTGTCTTTCTCTGTCAGCTATGAAGAAAGGGCCTTGTCTCTTGTCAACATCTGTGGACCTTGGAGATCTCCAAGAATCTCGGTGTCAGTCTTCCCCTGGGTCTAGCAGGTTCCACTCCAGCTCTTCTTTCTCATTGGTAGTCATGTCCCTCCTCTCTGCTTGCTTTTCTCTCCTTTGATCTCTTATAAGGGTCGCAGGGTACACTACAAGAAAACTCTGTTTATGTTGGATCAGGGCTGTGACTTGAATAAGCATCTGTATCCCACCCTAATTTAATTCCCTTGGCTAATCACATCAAATCACATCATGGAGATTACACCATTACATAACTGCCAAACCACTGACAATCATGGGCCAGCCAAGTTGATGCACATTCTTGGGGGTGATGTAATTCAATCCATGACAATTCCCATCAATGGAAAACCAGCACCAGTTGCCATACATAAAATTAAAAATGAGACATTGACTGTAGCCCACTCTCTTTTTTATTAAAAGGAAAGCTTAGCAAGTTTGGAGAGATGTTGTAAGATGTAATGCCACAAATTGAGACTTGCTGCTGGTGCCATTGAAAGGTCTTTGAGGGGACATGATCAAAGTATTGCATTGGATGTTATGTGAGTTACATGCAAATAAACTTGGGCTGGGGTGGGGAGAAGCAATGTGGGAATAGCTTTACAAAATAATAATAATAAGTAATGTTCTCACAGTTAGACTCAGGACCACTTCATGCCATAGCGTAATCCTTTGTGGAATCGCATTGTGTTCTACCTACAGCAGCCTTGTGCACAGCAGTGAGACTGCTCTGTAGCCATCAAGCCCGAGCAGGAGAACTCACCCAGGAGATGGCAGTGATCGGCCTCCCAGGGCCATGGGTATGGCTCACAGGAACGTGCCAGTGGAGGGGAAGCACCAGAGACTAGAAGCAGAAGGGAGCCATCTCTCTTGTCTTTGCTCCTCGTACTGCTGTGATCAGCTTGTGTGGGCGGCTCTAAACAATGGGAATTTAGTTTCTCACACTTTTGAACACTACACATTCAAATTAAGGTGTCAACGTGTTGATTGGCCGTGTCTTCCCTTGGTGTCCCTTTGTTTGTAGGGAGGTCTCTTTTTCCAAGTTACCTCTGAGAAAAGATTAGGTTTACGCCCCATCCTACACTGGTATGACTTCATCCACATAATAAATTAAAAAAAATAGCCTCCACTTCCACACAGGGTTCCCTTCACACAGTCCACTCCATAGCACCTTCCCTGAGGTCAAAAGGACAAGAGAAGGAAATGGTGCTTCTAAGGAAGCCAGAGTCATGGGGAAGCTGATCAGAGGGAGCAAGACCCATCTTATTATTGACTTCCATAAGGTCAGCACCAACCCGATGCTGCACGTCAAAAGGAAGCATTGCCCAGTCCTGCACCATTGGCGCCATCACCAGCAGGTCTATGTCATTGACACGGCCATTATGATCCTGCACCGTCTCTGTTCCTCGGTTCCTTCAAGCACGGTATCCTTTCCCTCCCCTGGTGCCCTTTCTAAAACTAGCACTCTGCTCTGATTCAGAAGGTTTTCCTTGGCTAGTTTTTGGAAGTAGATCATCAGGCTTTCCTCCTAGTCTCCCTGGGTCTGGAAGCTCAGCGAAAACCTGCTCATCATCGGTGACTCTGCTTGTATTTGAAATACTGGTGGCAACATGGACCCCATGACAGTGCAACAGGCTGATGACACAGGTCGTGGAAAGTCAGCGAGAGATACAGAAGTGTAGAGGAGGGTTTGCCCAGGGCAGAAACACTCCTCCCACCCTTCCTAGTGCTTCCCATTGGTTGATCCACATATCCTGAACCACACGTGAGGAGGAAGGTAGAGGATGTTCCAGAAAATGGAGTGTTCCGGCTGAGGCCAAGCGTACACAGTGCCTTACGCAGGGTGCTAACTTTCTCCTTTCTGGCCTGCAGTCTCCGTGAGCAGCAGCAACCTGTACCCTGGCTGTGAGAATGTGAGCGTGCGCAGCCGCAGCATGATGTTTGAGCCGGGGCTCACCAAAGGGGTGCTGGAGGTGTTCGTGGCCCCGCCCCACCACCCGCACTGCTCGGCCGACGACCAGTCCACCAAAGCCATAGACATCCAGAACGCCTATCTGAACGGTAAGCATGTGTATAGGTACCTGCCTACTGTGTGCGTGCACCCCCCAATGATGAGCCATCCCTTCAAAGCAGAAGAGCCTCAGTGCCCCTTTGCACGTGGCCATGAAGAGCCCCATTGAGCAGCTCAGCGCCGTCATCAGTTCGAACCCTCCAGCTCCTCCACAAGAAACAGATGAGGTTGTCTGCCCCCATAGAGAGTCCCAGCCCCGAGACCATGTAGGCTCCCAGAGGCTGCGTCACCTTGTTGGCTGTGAGTTCCCTATGGTGCCTGTCGCTTCTGTGCTCTGGATGGAAGACAGCTCAGTCAGTCCAAGCCAATCCTGGGCGTGGCCCAGGACAGGTGTGACTGGCTCATCCCCATAACAAGTGAAGCTCAGCCCTCTGGGTCCCACACCAGTTGTCATGGAGTGGACACCTCCTCGTGGTGACCCCAGGCCTGTCAACAGGCCTGAGCGAGCTCCGTATCATTTTTCTGGACTAGCCATTTTAAGGTGATCACCAGGGCTTCCTTCCAAGGACGGCACCTGCCCACCTTTCAGGGTGCTGTTTATACCAGGGACTCTATCAGTACACAAGGGCGAGTCACAGCGGTTGCTTCTCCGGTTCCAGTCCATCCAGAAGCCCACGTTTGTTCCAAACCAGTGTGTGCGCACAAGTCTCTGGAGTTGGCGGGTGGCTGCAGACATGGCCTCTCAGTAAGACACTTGTCTTGTTCTCGTTAGCATGCCCTCAACCCAAAGGCCCAATCAAAGCAATGGCTTCCCAGGGCATCTGCTCAGCCAGCGAAATCCGAGGCTTTCAGCCAGGGCCTATAAACTATGTCAAGACAACATTTTAAGAAACCATATTGCAAAAGATAAAAGATATGGAAAATGGAATAGGCCTACAGCTACACATCCCTGGGTCACCCAGATGGTTTGCACCCAACTACTGACTAAAAAACAGGAACCCTGGTGACATAGTGGTTATGTGTTGGGCTGTTAACTGCATTGTCAGCAGTTCAAAACCACCAGCTGCTCCAAGGGAGAAAGACGGGCCCAGGTCTGTCCTGTAACCCCTGAGCCAGACCCTCCACAAGGTCACAGTAGGGGGCGGTAAAAGGATGGCTCTGCAGAGGCAGTCTCTACATGGAACATACAGGGTGCTGGAAAACTTTGGAACTTGGTTGTGGCACCTCATGGCAGTCATATGTGTTTCTCTGTAGGAGTCGGCGATTTCAGCGTGTGGGAGTTCTCTGGAAATCCTGTGTATTTCTGCTGTTATGATTATTTTGCTGCAAATGACCCCACCTCAATCCACGTCATCGTTTTTAGCCTGGAAGAACCCTACGAGATCCAGCTGAACCAAGTGATTTTCTGGCTGAGCTTCCTGAAGTCTCTTGTCCCTGTAGAAGAGGCCATTGGTAAGTCAAGCACCCAGGTGACAGGGGCTGACCTCCCAGCAGAGCGTCAAGAAGCAGCCCTCTATCTCTGGGGTCCTCATTTCCCCCAGCCCCTTAGTTAAAGGCAGGAGTCCTGGTGTGTAGTGGTTCCTACAATCCACATGGTCAGAAGTTCAAAACCATTAGCCACTCCCTGGAAGAAAGACTGGGCTTTCTACTCCCATAAACGGTTCCAGTCTTGGAAACCCACAGGGGTCGCTGTGAGTCAGCGTGGACTCAGTGGCAGTGAGTTTGGCTTTTTTTGGTTACTTGAAGGCAGGCAGCAGTGTTTATAGTGGGATTTGCACCACCTACGTGGGAGACCACTCTCTCAGAAGGCGTGTGCATTCAGTGGAGCGTCTGGACCAAGATGGACCAGGAAGAAAGACCTGCCGGTCTACTTCTAAAAAGTCATCCAGTGAAAACCCCATAGATCACAGTACGCCGCTGCACGAACAGCCACAATTTGGTGCAGGCGCGTTTATCTGGTGCAATGGGGTACGGCCCCAAGTCAGGCACTGACTCAGTGGCACCTAACATGCACACCCTCCTTGACGCAAAGGGAGCATGATTAGTAGGAGTCATAAAAAGTAAAGCCTCCTTCATCCCACAGTTCCACCGAGAAGAAAAGCTGGTGTTTTGGAGAAAAAGCCATCCTGGCTGACTAAATTAACAAAGCTTTATTCCTATAAGATAGGATAGGGTAGAATTGTGTTCTTGTGGTCTTTTCAGGCAACTAAAGAATGAGGAAATCTGACTCAGCATTCGCGTCCCCCAGAGAGGCACGTAGATGCTTGGGCTCGGGCCCCTGCAGTTACGGCCTTTTGCCCCTGGCTTTCTGCTTCCAGCTCCTGTTTTTTTAAAAACATCCCCACCAATGTGGAGGCTCTGTCTTGGCAAGGGTGCATGCAGGGCTTCTCTGTGGTTTGGTTTGGTTTTTTAAATGCTTTATTGGGAATTAAGTGAGGTTTGCTGAGTTGGTCATGAGTTGTTCCCTCAACAATTCACACACCTTTTGTTTCATCTCCTTCATTGCCAGTCCCTCACAAAAGCATTGCTTATTCCACTTCATCTCCATAGTGCCTCTTTCCGTTCCTCCTCCTTTGTCCTGGGGTAAATGCTGCCCTTTTGCTCCTCAACGGTTGATGATTCTGACACGCTGAGTCCAGTTGCAGACCCGAGAGGTGACAAATGGGCATAGCCGTAGGGTCCTACCGGTTGCTTCCTGAGCAGGAAGGCTGGTCTCGCTCCTGATTTGGGGGTCTAGTCTACATTTTCCTCCGAGTCTAGCTAGGGTTCACTGTACTTTTGTGATCCTTTTCAGAGTCGTTGGCAGCGTAACTAGCCACTTTCTTGTTCTCTCTGCCTCACGGGCTGGAGACCAACAGCGGCGTATTCCATCCCTCCATGTGCTACTTGTTTCGGGGGTCTTTCCATTTTCATCACGCTCCTTTCCGCCAGACCGGGAGAGCCACCTAATTGTACCTTATAAGGTCGCTCATGAGCTTGTAAGACCCCTGTCACTACTCACCAAAGTCGGATGTAGAACATTGCCTTAGTGAACTGTGTCACGCCCATTGACTTTGGTGTCCCCTGAGATGGCTACGGTCCTGAGCCCCCACTCAGTGACTCTTCATGTCTAAGAACTTGTCATAGTGTTGCCCTGTGTGTGCTCCATCACGGCTTATGGATATAGTTGCAGCAAAGGTTAATACACAATACCAATCTCGGGTGCCTTCCTGGTCTTCCTCTCCTCCCTGTTCAGCCTACATATCTATCGAGGCACTATTCATGGTTCATCGCTCTTGCCAGTTTGTATGTATAACAGTTTTTACTTCTGTTGTCTTTAACTCTTGCAAACCTTCCAGGGTCTTCCCCTACCTCCATCGTTTCCCCCTAACATCCTTCTTGTTGTGTATTGATTACCTCCACTTGAGTCAGCACTTGTCTACCCTCTGGTCCGTAACTGTGTACATCCCTTCCCATCTCACCCCTAAGAACCATGACAGTGCATCTCTTTAGTATGAAAACCATTTATTGACTTCTTAGAACAGTGGTTTCCTACAATATTTGTCCGTTTGGGATGGACTCGTTTCACGCAGCATGACGTCCTCCCGGTTCACCATGTCACCACTTGCATCTTGCCTCACCAGGCAGGCAGCGCTGGCTGGTGCACTGCAGTTTGGTTTTAGTCCATGTGTCAGCAACTGTTCTGGAAGCCCAACCTCCAGAGGCTTCTTTTCAGTGGCAGCAACTTGGGGACAGGCTCCCGTGTTTTCTGTGGGGCTGCGAGTCACACTATGCCCGTGGGCAGGTTGCATACCCTGCTGAGGAAGCACGAGGCTGGTGGGGAGAGGGGGGGACCCACCTCCTGAGCTGGTATTCTTTCCGCCCTCAAGCGTTTGGTGGTAAGCTGAAGAACCCACTGCGAGTCATCCTGGTGGCCACTCACGCTGACATCATGAACATCCCTCGTCCCGCTGGAGGTGAATTTGGTTATGACAAAGACATGTCATTGCTGAAAGAGATCAGGAACAGGTAAGGGACAGCCACTCCGTCTTCAGACCCAGGTGGGCGAGTGGACAGGGTGAAATATACAACAGAACATAATGTCCACTGGAGAAAGTCAGGAACGGTCGTCCTTTCCTTGCTTTAGGAGCCCTGGTGCAGGGTCAGCGCTGCAGACCCCCAGCTGCGTGGTGGGAGCAAGGTGCTCCCAGCACACGTGACCGCTTCAGACACCATTGGGGCAGTTCTGCTCTGCCCGGAAGGGCCACTATGAGTCACAATCAATGACTGTGGAGTGGACTCTTTCCTGGCCTGCCTATTTGAAAAATTTTTGTTTTGGTTTTTTTAATCAAAGCATTGAATCAAAATCAAATAGCAGTGACAGGACACCCAATAAAAGCCACATTCCTCCACACGCACGTTGCTGACAGTCCAAGTAACCTGTTTTGTTTGGGCGTGGACTTCACCTGTTGACTTGCTCCACAGCACGAAGCAGTGTTTCTCAAAATGGCAGCCTGCAACTTAGCCCCCGGGCCCTGGAACTCACTGGGGAGGCGGGGAGGGGTGGTGACAGCCATCTCTGTATAAATGGGGATGGGGTGGGATGGGGTAGATTCAAGTGGAAAATGTCAGACTACACTGTAATTTGTAAAAGCAGTTCTGAATACCGGGTCACGATGTAAACATACCCACACATTTTTGAGGGTCTGTCAAAATCCATGATCCAAGGATTGTAAATTACGTAATAATAATTATATAATATCCAGTCTAGTGTGCAAAGGCTCTGAATGATGGTGGAAGCCCAGCGTCTATTTGCAGGCTCTCCACAGGGAGTAAGCCTCCTCTGGTGATTGTCTTCCAGCCGTCATTGAGGGGTGGAGACCACCAGGTTGTACAGACAGAGAGCACTGCAGACACGACTACGGTGGATTAAAATGATCAATCTGACATGAACACTTAAAACCTCGTCACTGGATCTCCCTTTTTATATACTTTGTGTGTAATTTGTTTTTTAATATTTTCTGTGTTTGGGGGGGTTTTGGTTTGTTTGTTTTTTAACATTGAGGTTTGTCTCAGTTGTATTTTGTCATTGTTGGGAGCCTTGTTGACTCTCCGTTATGTATTTTTCTGTAGGTGAATCTAAGCGGATAATAACTAGATAGAATAAGGGCTCCTGGGAGTGTGTGTGTGTGTGGGGGGGGGGGTAATTGGTAAAGGAAGAGCCGCTATCAGGAGGTCAAGAAGGAAGAAAATGTTTGGGGACTGATCTTGGTAGTGATTGTACAACACTGCTTGCTATGATTGGACTATGGAATGGTGTGATGTCTGGATTAGCTCCTAATAAAATAGTTTGGGAGTGAGAGGAGCTGGAAAGCTGCCAATGCTTCATAGTAATTCCAATTCTTGACTCTCAATGTTAGCCACGTTTCCTGTGGCCTTCCTGAGCCGAAGCCTGGCAGTCCCGTTGGCATTTCCAGGTCTGTGGTCACCGGGACGTGAGTGCCCCTGTTCTCACTGTTCACAAACCTGTCTTCTCCACAGAAGCCTAGAGCTTTCCTCCTTGTGTGGCTGCTGCTTGGTGGACAGTGGGGCGCCCATTTTTACAACTCAAGGGTGCAGGCCAAGGTCTCCAGGCTCCCACACTCCTTACACTGTGGGAGTCCACTGTCCAGCAGGTTTTTCAGGGTACCACCACCTCCCTTGCCTCCTTTGGGGCCCATAGGAGCCTGGCAAGAATCACTGCTGACAAGGCCGCTCACTGTTCTTCCTCATAGGTTTGGGAATGACCTTCATATTTCAAATAAGCTGTTCGTTCTGGATGCTGGGGCTTCTGGGTCCAAAGACATGAAGGTACTCCGAAATCACCTCCAGGAAATTCGAAGCCAGATTATTTCCGTAAGTACCGTCGAGAGGCAGCTTGGGCCCAGCTATTGGTAGGTGCGTTGAAGGATCCAGGTTGGGTCTCTGAGCATCTCTCCTGGGTTGTAGTTAGCAAGTGCTGACTACGCAGGTTTCACTAAAGAACAGAAATTTTATTTTCTCACAATTCTGAAGGCTAGAAGCCCAAATCAGGCCAGGCTCTAGAGGAAGGCCCATTCTCGGTCTATTTCAGTGCCTAGCCACTGCCCGAAGCCCCTGGTGTTCCCGGCTTGAGTCTCTCCTCTTTAGAAGGCAGTTGGGTTTAGGGCCCACCCTACTCTGGCATGATTTTGTTAAAAGAACCACAGAAGCACCCTATTTCTGCACAGGGTCATATTAACGGGTAGAGGGACTAGATACTCAGAATGTGTTGGGGAGGCTCAGTTCACTGCACAACTGGCTTGGGTGTCCCAGGGCCAGCTTCCCAGGAGGCTCCATGACTGTGCTTGAGTTCTCTGTCCCAACGTGAGGAGGAAGAAGTCGAGAGAGAAGAGGGCAACACCAGACCACTGCGGATTTTATGAAATTCCTATTGCTTTGCTGTTTAAACACAACATTTCTTTTATACACAATGTAAAAGTAATTTCATGTGGTTTGTTTAGAAATGCTAAAAGCAAGAGGCATCACTACTGAGTCACTGATAGAACTGATTGCAGGACATTAATAACATCTAAGCAAGACTGCTCGTAGATGGCAGGACATCATGTAATATTTCATTTTCCAAAGGTTAGGTAAATTTAATACAACTCTAGTCAGCATCCCCGCAGGACTGAGGGCCCTGGGTCTCTTTCATCTAGCAATGTTGACAGAAAAGCAAAGCATACGTATTGTCCTATTGTAAAGACGGTCACTGATGCACGGAAGCGAGTGGAGCAGAGTAGTGTGCGTAAAGCACCCTATGGAAATATACTCTAGACCAAAGGGGTGATTTCCTCCTAATAGAAAAAATTCATCCTGGCACAGCTACCGATTTTCCTAAAAAGAATAGTAGTACGGTTGAGTGCCAACATTATTGGATAACATAAGAACAAATTCTAGGTGGGCTAAAGACTTTAAATGTTAAAAGTGAAAGCAAAGCCTTGGATGGACATTTAGAAGTGTAATTAAAAGAATAACAACAATCTGGGAACTGGGGGGGAAAGTTTAAACCCAAATAGAAAACCTCAGAAATTACTAAATACAATGTACCATATATACTCGTGTATAAACTGAGTTTTTCAGCACAGTTTTTAATGCCATTTTTGTGGTAAAATTAGGTTCCTTGGCTGATATTTGGGTCAGCTTATACTCGAGTATATATGGATGTATTTATCAACATAAAAATTTCTAAAAACAAGATTCATTTTATTTATTATCAATAAATTCAACCTTTTTTAAGTCAAAAAATTACGTAGACCAAGAAAAAGATTCTTGGTGCATTTGATAGATGAAAGATTTGATCTCTGAAGGTGACTGTCCATCATATTCCAAAAGCTCTTCAAAGTTGATCGGAATGCCTTTGCACTGGCAAAATGCTAGGTGCTCCTGTTGCCCATGCTTGAGTTTAAACCGGGTGGGTTTCCGGCTCCCCTTTGCGCCCCCATCCTGACTGCTGGGCTGACAGTGAACACCGGACTTCAAACAGCAGACTCCTGCTTACCCAACAAGCCTTCAGAAGTTTCATCCAGAAACCCACTTCTGGCTGTTCACGTCAAGTGTGCCATCACACTCTGGCCCAGTCAGAGATCAGGAGTGGTCTGACGTGGTCTCAGAGAAATCTGGTCACCATTGGTCTTGGGTGATGCTCTTGGAACAGCAGTAGGCAAGGAGCCCCAAGCTGCGACCCCCAACCCCCACTAGGTATGACAGCCTATGGTCTGAGGCTGTGAGGGGAGTCCCTGGTGACGCAAATGGTTAACATACTCAGCTGCAAGTTCACCCAGAAGAAGAGGTTGAGTTAACCTTCAAAAGGACGGCCCAGACTGTCTACTTTTCTCAGTGGAAAGGCTATCGACTTCGGAAAAGTCAGCCTCTGAAAACTCCGTGGAGTCCTGTCCGCTCTGACACACGCACGCACGCACGCACGCATGCACACACACATGGTCACCATGGGTCAGACCGACTCTAACAGGGTTGTTTTTGAGCTGAGGGACAGCGTGAACTCCTCCATCACCCCTTTCTGTACCCCTGGCATCAGGCACATGGAACCCGCCAACTAAAGTGCCTGTGACATGGGACTGTATTCAGCTCGGATACTTAGCTGTGCCACAAGCTGAAAGACATCACTTGGAAAGGGACTCGACGATTAGGAAGGAGGCGCAGTGTGTAGTCGGTGTTGTTTGTTTGTTTTTAATTAGGAAGGTGTACTGGTTATGAGATGGTAGAATAAGCTAATTGATAAACCAAAATAAGAGATTAAGACCTCATTTCAAACCAATTACCAAGAACTCATCTAATTTGAAATAATCTTTCAAGAACAATACCCATGATTTGCCTAATTTGCTGGTAAAAAGACTCTCCTGTAATAGAGAAAATCTTCTCTATTTTGGAGGGCCTTCCATACCAGGAGGCCTTCCACAGCCATCAGTGCAGGAGCCCCCCCCAAAGGGACTGGGTCCATTCTGACTCCTGGGGACCGTGGAGGACAGAGCTGCTCGCTGGGTTCCAAAGACTGAATCTTTTGGGGGGAGACAAGGAACCCCCAAGGGGAAAGGAAAAGGAAGGGACTTGTGTGGGACATCTCTGAGTCAGCGAACCCCAACGGCAACAGCTACAGAGGGTCCTGCAGCCACACCTGTGGCTAGCTGACTTTAGGCGCAGTTGCACAAGATGTACACAGAGCTGCCTGTTTTTAAGTGGAGCCCCGGTGAGGTGGTGGTTACACAGCAGTTTGAAACCAATCACCACTTTGGGGTTCTCTATTCCCCTGAAGATTTACAGCCTCGGAAACTCACAGAAGCAGTTCTACCCTGTCCTATAGGGTCGCTATGAATCAGTATCAACTGGCAGTGAGTTTGGGTTTTAAAAATATCTCCATATGTGGGCAATCTTTCAAACTAATGGATGTCTACAAAATTTGAGCTTGGCAATATCTCCATATGTGGGCAATCTTTCAAACTAATGGATGTCTACAAAATTTGAGCTTGGCAATATCTCCATATGTGGGCAATCTTTCAAACTAATGGATGTCTACAAAATTTGAGCTTGGCAATATCTCCATATGTGGGCAATCTTTCAAACTAATGGATGTCTACAAAATTTGAGCTTGGCACTGGCAGGCTTCTAAGGGCTAATGGGTCTCAGTTTGCTGAGAAGAACTAGACAGCCTAGGCCCAGTACAAAGAGTGAGTCTCTGACTCATTTATACAAGAGATGGGTGAGTGACTGAGTCCAGAGACATTAGCATGAAGACTCCATTTGCATGAGCAGGAGCTGTGAAAAGGTGCTGTAGAATTTGAGAAATAAGTAGATCTTCTTAAGTTCAGTCTCCAAAGGAAGAGCTGCCCCAGGAAAACCAAACCCAGTTCCCATTGAGTGGATCCCACCTATGTCCGAATCAGACTGTGCATTAAAAACAGGGTTTTTAATGAATGTTTGGTGGGGGGAGTAGAGTGCCAGGCCTTTCTTCTTAGGAGCTTCAGAGTAGACTTGATCCTCCATCTATTTTAGTTAACAGCCAATTATTGTTGCTGCTAGTTCTCTCATCACCCCAACTCATAACAACCCAATGTACAGTGTAATCCTACTGTTGGGGTCCACAGGCTTTTCATTGGCTGGTGTTTTTGAAAGTGGGTCACCAGGCCTTTCTTCATATTCTGTCTGTGCCTGGAAGTTCCACTGAAACCTGTTCAGCCTCACAGCAACCCTCGTGCCTTCGTGGCAGGTGGGTGGTGGTTGCACCGGCGGCGCATTGGCCAGGAATACAACCTAGGTCTCCCACATAGAAGGGAAGGGTTCTCTGATCCACTACTGCACCCAGCTGCCATGTACTCCACCAAGAGTAGCAATTCATTATGGGGTTTAGACACTACCTTGCGGGCCACAGAGCCTCACCACTGTGTGTTCATCTGGCTGGTCTGGTGTGCTCCAGGCGTGCCCACCAATGACCCACCTGTGTGAGAAGATCATCTGTACACTGCCTTCTTGGAGGAGACTCAATGGGCCCAACCAGCTCATGTCACTGCAGCAGTTCATGTGTGACGTGCAGGACCAGCTGAACCCCCTGGCCAGCGTGGAGGACCTCAGGCGCATAGCCCAGCAGCTCCACAGCACCGGCGAGGTAATGGCCGGGGGCGGGGTGGGGGGTGGGGGTGCGCTCCAGCGCCTTGCTCTGGGACTTGACAGAGGTATACACCTGAGAGGGGAAACTGCCCAAGCACCCAGGCAATTTCCAGGTATATGACTAGTTCTCGGGTGGTGCCAATGGCTATCCAAGAGGTCAGAGGCTTATTCGAATCCACCCAGAGGTGCCTCCGAAGAAAGGCCTGGAGATCTACTTCTGATAAGCCGGCCTTTGAAAACCCTGTGGGCACAGCCCCACTCAGACACACATGTACGCTCTGTGAGTTGAAATCAACTTAAGGCAAGTAGGTTGCTCGTTTGTTTCACGTTAGAGCTGAACTGCAAGTTCTCTGCTCTCCAGGGCCAGGTTAGGAGCCATTCTCCTGCTTGTTTTCCAGATTCTGATAGTTAGGGAATACAGATTCTCCCTACATGTCCTGTTGGTCACCTGCTATGACTGAACAGCCACCAATCAGTCTGGCTGCTCGGTAGGGCTTGTTATCAACTCCAGCCCGGCAGTGAGGAAAGGCAGTGAGTTATCCTCAGGGCGACACACTGCACTGCCTGGAGAAACTCCAGCAGAGGATTGGCACACAGATCCACCAAGTCATCGTAACCCAAACACCCCAGCAGGAGGGGCTTACCAGCAATGACAAGGTAATGGGGGTGAGTTGTGGTGGCCCCATTGTGACTGCATCATAAGCCTGTCCCTGAAAGGGGACCTCGCTTTTCTAGTCCTCCATCAAGTGGAATCAGAAGGCATGTTGCAACATCAGGAGCTAGCCTTGCTAGTCTCGGTTCCACAGCTGGCCCTGAGGCTGGTATCGTGGATCATGCATCGCTATTCCTCCTTTGCCTGTTGTCCCCCACGACCCCTTGTTTCTGACTAGGACCCTGCACTAGGCATAGTTGTCAGGACTCGTGGGTCTTGCTCTCTCATGACCCTGAGGAGAGAGCAGTGTTTGCATGAACCACATTGGCCCTTGGCTGCCTCTTGCTGTTGCTCTCTGCTGTCAAATCAATTCCGACTTTTGAGATCCCTTGGGGTGCAGACTAGAACAGCTTCCCAGGGTCTTCAAGGCTGCCCCCTTTTCAAAGCAGATCACCATTGGTGAGGCCTGCCTCTCCAAGGCCATCTCTGGGTAAGTTCCAAGCTTTCAGATCACAAGCAAGCCAGCACTTAATTGTG